GTTTTTTGGGGGAAGAATTGGGTTTTGGGGGTCAGAATTGTTTTTTGGGGACAAGAATTGGGTTTTTTGGGGAAGAATTGGGGTTTTGGGGGTTAGAACTGTTTTTTTTTTTGGGAAGAATTGGCGTTTTTTGGGGGAAGAATTGGGTTTTGGGGGTCAGAACTGTTTTTTGGGGGGAAGAATTGGGTTTTGTGGGAGGAAGAACTGGGTTTTGCGGATCGCAATTAGATTTTGGGGGGGTCAAAATGGCAATTTTGGGGTGAGAATTGTTTTTTTTTTTTTTTTAAGGAAGAACTGGGGTTTTTTTTAGGGTCAGAACCGGATTTTTTGGTGAAAAACCCTTCCCCCCGCCCCCCCAAAAAATTTGGACGTTCTCCAGACCTGACGACGCTGAACTTGAGGTTGTAGTTGCCGCCGCTCTGGATGATGGGCGGGTAACACATCTCCACCGCCGAAGGGTCGGCCCCCGCCAGATACTTCTTCTCCTCGATGGCCTTCTCCACCGATTCGGCCAATTTGCTGTGCCGGACTTTCTGGGGGTGACGACATCATTATGACATCACCCCACCTCATTTTTTCCTCCAACCTCCCCCCAAAAACCTTCTCAAACTCTCCCAAAATGGCCTTTTTTTTTCTGACCTCGTCGGCGTCAACGATCTCCATCACCCGTTCTTTGAAGAACTTGGTGAAGACCTCGGAGGTGATGGTGGCCGCCTTGCGCATCAAGTTGAGTTCGCCGTCTTCCTTGGCCGCCATGGTGTAGGCCACCACGGCGCTGATGTCCACCTGCGGAGGACACCGTTGGGGACAATGAGCTCGAGGTGACCCCGGCAAACCCACGGAAGGTGGTGGGACCTCCCCGGACCTTCTCGAAGCCCTCCTTGCTGAGACAGTCGTTCCAGCTCTTCATGAAGTCGCCGGGGAACTTGTCCTTGCTGAAGACGCCGATGCGTTTCCCGCCCTTGCTGGCCTTCAAGGCTTCGATCATCTTCTCAAAGTTGGCTTTGTTGCTCTCGTTCTGGGCCGAAAAAGGGCGGAATCGGGAACGAAACGGGGACTCGGCCCCATCTCCAACTCCACCTTCCCACCTCCACCTTCAGTTCCATCTCCACCCCCATCTCCGAACCTTCACCTTCATCCCACCTCCACCTTCACCTCTATCTCCAGCTCCGTTCCCACCTTCGCTTCCACCTCACGTCCACCTTCAGCTCCATCTCCATTCCCATCTTCGGACTTCCATCTCCACCTCAATTCCAACCTCCATCTCCACCTCCAGCCCACTTTCTACTCCACCACCACTTCCAGGTTCTTTTCGATCTTCTCATCTCCATTTCCATCCTCATAGAACCATCTCCATCTCCATCCCACCTCCTTCTTCACCTCCATCTCTGTCTTCACATCTCCGTTTCTACCTTCATGTCCACCTCCGTCTCTACCCCAACCTCTTCATCCCATCTCTAACTCACCATCCCACCTTCTCCTCCATCCCACCTCCATCCTGAAGGACCCACCTCCATCCCGAAGGACCCATCTCCATCCTGAAGGACCCTCCCTACATTCTGGTGTCCCCATCTCCACCCTGAAGCCCCCCCCAACTCCATCCTGAAGGCCCCCCCCTCCATCCTGGTGTCTCCCCCTCCATCCTCTTGTCCCCACTCCATCCTCGTGTCCCCACCTCCATCCTCGTGTCCCCACCTCCATCCTCGTGTCCCCACCTCCATCCTCGTGTCCCCACCTCCATCCTCGTGTCCCCACCTCCATCCTCGTGTCCCCACCTCCATCCTCGTGTCCCCACCTCCATCCTCGTGTCCCCACCTCCATCCTCGTGTCCCCACCTCCATCCTCGTGTCCCCACCTCCATCCTCGTGTCCCCACCTCCATCCTCGTGTCCCCACCTCCATCCTCGTGTCCCCACCTCCATCCTCGTGTCCCCACCTCCATCCTCGTGTCCCCACCTCCATCCTCGTGTCCCCACCTCCATCCTCGTGTCCCCACCTCCATCCTCGTGTCCCCACCTCCATCCTCGTGTCCCCACCTCCATCCTCGTGTCCCCACCTCCATCCTCGTGTCCCCACCTCCATCCTCGTGTCCCCACCTCCATCCTCGTGTCCCCACCTCCATCCTCGTGTCCCCACCTCCATCCTCGTGTCCCCACCTCCATCCTCGTGTCCCCACCTCCATCCTCGTGTCCCCACCTCCATCCTCGTGTCCCCACCTCCATCCTCGTGTCCCCACCTCCATCCTCGTGTCCCCACCTCCATCCTCGTGTCCCCACCTCCATCCTCGTGTCCCCACCTCCATCCTCGTGTCCCCACCTCCATCCTCGTGTCCCCACCTCCATCCTCGTGTCCCCACCTCCATCCTCGTGTCCCCACCTCCATCCTCGTGTCCCCACCTCCATCCTCGTGTCCCCACCTCCATCCTCGTGTCCCCACCTCCATCCTCGTGTCCCCACCTCCATCCTCGTGTCCCCACCTCCATCCTCGTGTCCCCACCTCCATCCTCGTGTCCCCACCTCCATCCTCGTGTCCCCACCTCCATCCTCGTGTCCCCACCTCCATCCTCGTGTCCCCACCTCCATCCTCGTGTCCCCACCTCCATCCTCGTGTCCCCACCTCCATCCTCGTGTCCCCACCTCCATCCTCGTGTCCCCACCTCCATCCTCGTGTCCCCACCTCCATCCTCGTGTCCCCACCTCCATCCTCGTGTCCCCACCTCCATCCTCGTGTCCCCACCTCCATCCTCGTGTCCCCACCTCCATCCTCGTGTCCCCACCTCCATCCTCGTGTCCCCACCTCCATCCTCGTGTCCCCACCTCCATCCTCGTGTCCCCACCTCCATCCTCGTGTCCCCACCTCCATCCTCGTGTCCCCACCTCCATCCTCGTGTCCCCACCTCCATCCTCGTGTCCCCACCTCCATCCTCGTGTCCCCACCTCCATCCTCGTGTCCCCACCTCCATCCTCGTGTCCCCACCTCCATCCTCGTGTCCCCACCTCCATCCTCGTGTCCCCACCTCCATCCTCGTGTCCCCACCTCCATCCTCGTGTCCCCACCTCCATCCTCGTGTCCCCACCTCCATCCTCGTGTCCCCACCTCCATCCTCGTGTCCCCACCTCCATCCTCGTGTCCCCACCTCCATCCTCGTGTCCCCACCTCCATCCTCGTGTCCCCACCTCCATCCTCGTGTCCCCACCTCCATCCTCGTGTCCCCACCTCCATCCTCGTGTCCCCACCTCCATCCTCGTGTCCCCACCTCCATCCTGGTGTCTCCACCTCCATCCTCTTGTCCCCACTCCATCCTGGTGTCCCCAACTCCATCCTGAAGGACCCCAACTCCATCCTGGTGTCCCCACCTCCATCCCAAAGGACCCCACCTCCATCCTGGTGTCCCCCCCTCCATCCTGAAGACCCCCACCTCCATCCCAAAGGACCCCACCTCCATCCTAAAGGACCCCAACTCCATCCTGAAAGAACCCCACCTCCACCCTGAAGACCCATCTCCATTCTAAAGGACCCCAACTCCATCCTGAAGGACCCTAACTCCATTCTGGTGTCCCCACCTCCACCCTGAAGACCCCCAACTCCATCCTGAAGGACCCCACCTCCATCCTGGTGTCTCCACCTCCATCCTTGTGTCCCCCACCTCTATCCGGAAGACCCCCACCTCCATCCTGAAGAACCCCAACTCCATCCCGAAGTTCCCACCTTCATCCTGAAGACCCATCTCCATCCTAAAGACCCTCAAGTCCATCCGGAAGACCCCCCAAACCCCGCCACGAGGAGGTCCTCACCTTCTCCCGCACCAGGAGGGTGATGGCGGGGACGCCGTTGGCGCTCTCTCCGCCTTTGCTGTGGGCCACCTGCTTGAGGAACTCCACCTTCTTCTTGCTGGCCATGAAGAAGATCTTCTCCTCGCAGAACACCATGATGGTGTCGGTCAGCTCGTAGCCAAAGAGCCACGTCTGGAGAAGAAGGAGCGGCGGTCATCTCGGGGTAGGGGTAAGACGGTCTCCCCAAACCGGTGGGACCTTCTCCAGGGGCGGTGGGACCATCCCCAAGGGTGGTGGGATCCCAAAAGAGGTGGTGGGATCCCAAAAGAGGTGGTGGGAGTCTCCCAAGGGTGATGGAACCCACTCAAAGGTGGTGGTGGGACCTCCCTCCAAGGCGCTGGAGCTCCTCGAGGGTGATGGGACCCTCAAAAAGCGGTGGTGGGGACCTCTAAGGGCGGTGGGAACCCCCCCAAAAAGCGGTGATAGACCCATCAAGGCTGATGGAGCTGCCCAAGAGCGGCGGTGGGACTCTCAAGGGGGTGAGACCTTCCCAAGGGTGGCGGTGGGACCTCCTCAAGGGGGATAGACCTCCCCAAGGGTGGTGGGACCGCCCCAAAAGTGGTTGGTGGGACCCTCAAGGGTGGTGGAACCCCCCAAAAATGATGGTGGGGTCTTCCCAAGGGTGATGGGACCCCCCAAAAGTGGTTGGTGGGACCCTCAAGGGTGGTGGAACCCCCTAAAAATGATGGTGGGGTCTTCCCAAGGGTGACGGGACCCCTCAAAAGTGGTTGGTGGGACCCTCAAGAGTGGTGGAACCCCCCAACAATGATGGTGGGGTCTTCCCAAGGGTGATGGGACCCCCCAAAAGTGGTTGGTGGGACCCTCAAGGGTGGTGGAACCCCCCAAAAATGGTGGTGGGGTCTTCTCAAGGGTGATGGACCTCCCAAAGATGGATGGTAGGACCTCCCCATGGGTGATGGACCTCCCTAAGCATGACGGGACCCCCCCCAGGGGTGGTGAGACCCCCCAAAAGTGGTCGGTGGGACCCTGAAGGGTGGTGGAACCCCCCAAAAATGGTGGTGGGGTCTTCTCAAGGGTGATGGACCTCCCAAAGATGGATGGTAGGACCTCCCCACGGGTGATGGACCTCCCTAGGGGTGACGGGACCCCCCGCAGGGGTGGTGAGACCCCCCAAAAGTGGTCGGTGGGACCCTCAAGGATGGTGAACTCCCCAAAAATGATGGTGGGGTCTTCTCAAGGGTGATGGACCTCCCAAAGATGGGTGATAGGATCTCCCCACGGGTGATGGACCTCCCAAAGACGGATAGCAGGACCTCCTCACGGGTGATAGACCTCCCTAGGGGTGACGGGACCCCCCCAAAGGGCGGTGGGACCCCCCCAAAGGGTGGTGGGACCCCCCAAAAGTGGGTGGTGGGACCTCCCGAAGGGTGACGGGCCCCCTCCCCCACCTGCAGGGCGGTGGATTTGGCGTAGACGATCTCCTCGTC